TTTTTTTTGGTTTGTTTGTGGCCCCCCCCCCCCCAATCTGCACAAGAACCATTGTCTTCAACCTGCGCTTTAATGATTGTCTGGAGGTGTTTGATTTGTTCTCGATAGCGGGAGAGTCAAGGCGCTCTCAGACTGATGCTGCTGGGGTTGGGTACCATTCGCTGTCTCTGGACAACCTCCGGCATAGCAATGTGGATAGCAGCACAACAACCACTACTGGAATATACCGTCGGTCAGCTACACACTGCGCGTGGTGTGGGAAACCTGAACGCCAGCCCCTTCGGTTCCTGTCGGCCCAGAACTTCCCCTGCTGTAGTCCCTGGCGTGCTGTCCTGTGCCGTGTTCTCAGTTCACCTGCAGTGCAGAGCTCTTTCTTTTGAATTGGATGAGTTATTTTCCCATTCTTGACAGTATGTTCTTTTAATTATTTCCCACCCCCTCAGCCTTCCCCCTGCAGAGACGCTCCGAGTGCTGACTTGCAAGGAGCGTCTCCGCAGGGCTGTGATTTCGGGGGGCTGTGTGCTGGGCGATGCTCAGGTCTCTACGTGATGTTATAACCTCTCTGAGTGATGCTGCTGCTGCAGAGCAGCCCTTCCCCAGCCCAGGGCTTACAGGTCCAAGGAGGGCTGCTTTTTCTTCCCAGACCTGGCTGGGTGCTGCCAGCTCCTTGGAGCCAGCTCTCCACCAGGAGCCACCCTTGGACCACAGATGGGGAAAGCAAACCTAAACCAGCATGGGCATCCTCTGCTCCATTCAGCCCTAGCTGGGGCAGCTTTTCCATCGCCCCAACATCTTTTCTGGGGCATGATGCACGGAATAGTGGGAGAGGACACTCCAAAAAATGGCTTTTCCCTTCCCTTTCATGCAGTTCTTGATTCTGCATGGGTAAGCGCAATGTCCCAGAGACGCCGAGGCACGCCGCCCTCGGCACGGGCTGTGGGGAGGACCCAGACTGAAATGTCCCGGTTCTTTTGGATTGTTTCGCTCTGTGTCCAGTGCTGTCTTGTGCATCCGTGCCAGGGCACTCGCTGCGCTGGGCAGAGGTGAGGTGGCTGTAGGATGCTGCCATCATCCCATCCAGAGTGATGGACCTGGCCAAAGCCTTTGCACGGCCCTTGCCTGTACCTCTTGGAGCAGCAGTTGGGCACAGTGCACTTCTGGGAAATGTTTGGCTCAGAATGAAATTACCTTTAAAAAAAAAAAAAAGAAAGAAAAAGTTTTCCTTGATTTATTCCATACCTGCAGCAGCCCAGCCTCCTTTGTGTGTGCAGAACAATTAAATTAAGGTTGCCTTTACCCATGCCCTGTATCGACATTCTCTGCTCAGCCTGCTTTCCCTTCAGACAAACAATACTCAAATCATCTCTTTGCACCCATGAAAATAAAATGCAACTTGCCAATCCCACTGTCAGTATTGTGCAAACCACGTCTCCGTTTGCCACCCTCTTCTGAGTTTTTCTGATGGTAATTTCTGCCCTGAATGACTTCTTTTTGTTGTAAATAAAGCATGCACATATGGATTGGGAATGGTGAGAAAAAAAAAAATAATAAAGCCTCTTCTACTGCTGTTTGCATTCAAACTTGCATGCAGTGATTTTACAGCAAAATATCAGTTTACAACTATTAAGAGAAAAAGAAAATGTTACACGAGAACTAGAAATACTCCAGTCTTCCGCTGCATGCAGCACAACATCCTCTCTTGATGTGGTATCTAATAAAGTGAGACTATTGGAAAAGAAAAAAAAAAAAAAAACAAAACCGAACCAAGATGTTTTTTGGCTTCTTTCATTCCCTGGGAGAATATGAACCCTGGCGTGGGCTGGTAGGCGAGGACGATTGTCCCGATTGTGGGAATTTGTGGTGGGCTTGGGAGTGCTTGGAAGTTGTGCTGGGATCAAGAGGTTGAGGAGCAGTTTGGGAGGGTGGGGTGTAGCCCCTGCCCCGTGGGGAGAAGTCCCAGCTCTGCAGAGCTCGGCTTAGCTCTCCTGCACCCCTGGGGGCTAACGGGGATGATGTGAGTGCTGGGCAACAGTTGGGGGTAAAATCCTGCGTACACCCTGGGCATCGATCCTTTGTACCAGCCGGGACATCCACGGGCTCCCGGGCGCAAACACGATGGGCGCATGCTGCTGGGGAAGACCACAGCGCCCGTGGTGATGGTTGTTGCTTTGCTCTCTTAGCTCTCCTGCACCCCTGGGGGCTAACGGGGATGATGTGAGTGCTGGGCAACAGTTGGGGGTAAAATCCTGCGTACACCCTGGGCATCGATCCTTTGTACCAGCCGGGACATCCACGGGCTCCCGGGCGCAAACGCGATGGGCGCATGCTGCTGGGGAAGACCACAGCGCCCGTGGTGATGGTTGTTGCTTTGCTCTGGTGCTTCTGCAGGTTCTCTCGAAAAGCAAAATCACCCCATAAGAAAGGAGCCTCCTGGTGCCCTTCTTCATGCCCCAGCCCTTCTCCCCAGGTTGGGGAAGGAGCTGTTCCCCCGAGTAGCTGCAGCTCCTGTTTTATCGCTGCAGGAAAACACCCATCTGGCTACTGCAACAGCCAAGCCAATTTTTTTCTCCTTTTTTTAATTTGTTTTGGCATTTTTAGGCTCGATTTCCAGCCGATCATCAGATGCAGGGCCCGGGGAAGGGCACGCCAGGATGGTGGGAGCCCCTGGGATGGCAGCGGGCAGTGGTTCCATGGGGACCATGCCCCAGCCCCGGGCAGGGGGATGCAGGTGGTGGCCTCGCCTCTCTGGGGACACCCACACCCTCCGTGTACCCAGAAAGGCCCCGTGGGGAGGGAGCCAAGCCGTGGAGGGTGGCTGCATGGCGGGTCCGGTGCCGATGCCCAGAGACAACAGCAGATGTCATTGATGCTCCAGGTATGGCACGGGAAGGATGGGCAGGAGGTGCCAGAAGGATGCCCACATTCAGGGCTGGTGTCCCCTCAGCACCCCCAGTCCTGGTGGTGGGACCCCCTCGGTATGACCCATCTTGGTGGTTGGACCTCTCAGTATCACCCATCTTGGTGGTGGGACCCCTCCCCATCCCTTCACGAGCACCCATTTTGATGGTGCGACCCCCCAAATGCAATTGCCGTGTTGCTGAGCCTTGATGGATAACAGCCTTGGGGTGGTGGGGAAGCTCCCCCAGCCCCATGGTTGCTCCCACACAGCGCAGGGTTGATCCGTGGTTTTCCCCGATGCCAGGCTAGTGGTGGTTCTTCAGGAGGGGTCTGTGGGCAGTTAAAGCCTCCTGAGGTGCCCACACGGATGAGACGCCATCACAGCGCATTGCAGTTGGGTCGGGAATAATTGCCTAGGAGAGACCTGCAGGCCAGGGACCACCTTCCCCAGAACCACTGGTGGTCAGCTGGACTCATCTTGGAGCAAAAAGGTCAAACTGGCAAGTTAGATACCTCTTTGCGGTAATTCGGATGTTTGTGTAAGAGCCAGCAGCAATGACTGGTATTGAAAAATCTCCAAGATATTTAAAACTATCATGGGGTGCTGCCTGTATGTACTGCCCTTAATGAGGACCCTGAGCTCTCCCACCGGTTAGGAGAAGACCCCATGTTCTCACGCACGGTGGCAGGAAAACAACCAGAGGTTAAACACACACAGCAGTGACTGAACGGTCTGAGGTGATCTCCTCTTGGGGTCTAAACTCCAAGGAAAAGGAGAAAAATCACTCCAGCTCCCGGCGTGCTGCAGGATGCGTTTGGCATATCTTCAGAGGAGGAGGAGAGGGATGGCTGGTGAGGACAGCGAGCACGAA